CAGAAGTGGGAGAACAACAGATCTGCTACAGGAAAGGTTCCAGACCTCCTCTGCAGCAAGTAACTCATGAAGAATTACCACAGTAATCCATTCCACTGAGTGTACAGCTTGTCCATGTCAGACAGGCATACACACAAAATATACCCTAGTTAGCAAGGCCAGGGTAGTACTGAAGAGCTCATTTTACACATAGTCTGTAACACTGAGTTTCATGCTCCTTCAGTCATTAGTTATGGGGATAAGGATTCAATTAAGCCGATATGTGTTTGAAAGTTCCCACTTAGGGAAGTGCATGTGTCTATGTTTCTGTGATTGTGTCGGTGACTGTGGCTCTTTGTGTTAGAACTGTGGGTGAACAAAACTCTAAATCCAGAATTAGGGAGACACAGGGTAGACTTTGAATTCAGACCATAATCTTGTAGTTCAGATCCATCCCTGTTGTAAGAGTTTGTGTGGCTCTGGATGAGTGGTAGTGCTTATCAGTGTCTGTATAAGCAATTGCGTAACTAAGACTGACACAAGAGAGTGAGATGGCAATAGGACTAGTCTTGCCCCTTTGCTGAATCAAAATTTCTTTTCAATTGAAAGACTCTGCTTGTCTCACTCTAGCATATTTTAAAACAAGAATTTTTTTTTTTTAAATTCTGTTTTCTAAAAATTCTGGCTGTGGGCCAGCACTTGGAAGGAAAATCTCTAGTTGGCCAATCTTTGAACTAGACCAGGATCTCAAAACTGAGAAGGAGAGGGTAAATCATGAGACAGTTGTCTCCTGACACTGTAGCAATTTATGGGAAATGAGAGGTTGCAGTGCTTTTAATATTAACCGATATTCTGGACCAAATCTATGCCCCAGAGATGTTCCTTAAAGCATTTGAGAAATGATAGATTTGGTTTGCTATGTATGAACCCATTTTTGGTGTTTCAGCCTGAAGGGGTATTCAGCTGGAGGTAAAACACTGGATTTAATTCTCCATTTGAATAAGTAATGGGGAAAGAAGCTTAATCTGATATCTTTTTTCATCATGGTTTTCATACATTTGATTTTTTTGTTTTCTCTTCAGTCTGTTGAAGTCCCAAAAGTGACCTTGACAAGTGATTTCTCTCACTTCTTCTCAGTGTGAATAATCCAAATTATTTCTGTGCTTATGGATTTCCTTGAGACTAAAAAGCTTGAAATAGCAGCATTTATCTTAAAATGTTTAAACTTGATTGAGTCACAATAAGTCTCTAGCTGTCTGGATATGTAGATAGATATCTGTTTTTGGCACCTATATGGCCTTCATTGATGTAGTCTTCAAGCATCTAGAAATCCTAGCAGGGTTTTAGTCCCACTACCCCTGCCAATGGAAAACTAAAATGTGGCACACAGGGAGGAGGTCTGTCCAGGGGCTCCTGGGAGGTCCAAATGCAAGTTCACAGCAGCATCCACTAGATCAAGCCTATCTTCTCACCATATTATCAGAACAGTTGTGGGAAAAAAGGAAAAAGAGCCTTCTTTATCATATGTTAACACACTTTCAGGCTAAATTCGCCCCTTCATAACAGTCATAATGGTTTAAAAATAAGTTTAAACATGGAGAATGTTGCTTTTAAAAAATACACTTATACAAGCAAATCAAATGGATACCTAAGGGCAAGTTCTTTTACCAGGCTGTAATAAAAGCAGACTGATTAAGACTCAGGGACTTCAATAAACCAGTTCTGGATTTGTGGTGAAACTTGAAGAAGTGAGTGAGCCAGCAGAGTCAATACTAGTGAGCATCTGTAATGACAAAAAGTGACAACCCTTCACCTGCTATCATTGAAAGAAACTTCTTGATCATTTCAGATCACTTCTTGATCATTTCTCTGGTTGGTCCATCAGAAAAATGCTATATTTTCCTTCAGGATTGATATACACCATCAATTAAATTGATGTTCATATATACAGTGAATCCAGGAGTGTAACTGATATGTAATCTAATGTAACCCATCCCACACTGTTTACAGAGTTTGTAAAAGAAATGTGAACATGGCAGCGTAGAGAGGAAGGCAGTGGTTTGCTGAGGCTATCAGCTTACAGGTTCTGCTATGGCTGGCTTCACCTGAAGCTTTTTTAGTCCTTAAAATTGACTTACCCATCTAGACCTTTTGCTTCTGCAGTGTGAAATGGGAATAAGGATGTACTTATCCAGAACCAAGAATCACAGAACCATTTGATTTGGAAGGGAACTTTGGAGGTCACTGCCCAAATTCCTGTGCAGAATAAGGCTAACGTGAAGCTATACCTGGCTTCAGGGTTGGATCAGGGGTCCCAGGGATGTCACTGTTTCTGCCTGGTATGTGAGACCTCATGCATCAGATTATGGGTTAGGGAGAGGGGGGCAGAGGGACCCCTTGGGGCAAGGTCTTCTGAACATTATTTCCTGATGCAGGTACTAGAGGGATGCTTCTGGCTTTCTGAACATCACAGGAGGCCAAGGCTTGACACGGCAGGTGGGTGGGATGTGGGGTCTTCACTCCAGAAGCCCCTTGGTTGTCTCCTCACCATGCAGGACACATGCCAGGCCCAATAGAGAGGTAGGACATGACAGAGTAGCAAGAGGACAGAAGCCGGCATGCCATAACTCTTGCAGGAGCAGCTGTGGCTTCCCTGTGTGTCCATCCCTGCATCTGCTGTAGGCTGGGAAAGGGGCAGCAGTAGATTGAATGAGGAATCTCACAATCCCCAGGTATAACACAGGGTACAGAATAACCTTGTTGCTCCCCTGCCTTGGGGAAGAATTTGGTGAGTGTAGTGAAACAGGAAAGTAAAAAGAGAAGCTTCTGCAGATGAACTGCGGTCGCTGCTCTCCAGCAAGCCTGTGACCTGCGCCCTGGCCACCGCTGTTCTGCTTGCACCCTCCTCTGCATGCGAGCGAGCTAATCCCGCGGAACGGGAGCCTGCAGCCGGAGCGGTAATTAGCCGCGAGTGCTCATTAGTGTAACTCCCGCGCTTGGTTGGTGTTCGGGCGCCCTCTCCTGGTGCGGACCGGCCGTGCGGGGGGCAGTGTCCAACGTCAGGGAAGGGAAATGGGAAGGGAGACTATCCTACGCCTTGCTACCTGTATGTAAAATCCTGTACCGCGTGTAGGACGTTGCTGAGCACTCAAAACTTGGTCTGGTTAAGCTTCCCAGACGCCCTCCTTTCCCCCTTCCCTACCCACTAAAATTCTTCCCTTTTGCTTCCCTTTCCCGTGTTTTTTAGTGTCTGTGAGAAAGGTTGAATTATCTTGCATTTTTTATGTCACTGGCTTCTCTGATGGTCTATAGACACAGGCATTAACACAGGTTTGCCCCTTAGTCTTGTTCTGTCCCTGACATAATTTTGAACTATCATCTCTTCCAAACATCTGAGTCTGTGTTGCTGCAGAGAGGCCCTGGACCAGTTAATCTGAGGAACTTACTGCTGGTTGCATATTGGCATATATGAAAGATTCTTCAAGAACAGCCTTATAATTGATTGTATGCATCTTACTGTTTTGACACCATGACGCATAATTTAAAAAGGCACAGTAGCTAGAGTAATGATCTTACAGTGAAAGTAATTATCCTGCAGAACAGTCTGGATATAAGTATAATTTTCATTCATTTAAGTAACTTCTGCTACATTCAATGAGCTATAATCCAGTGTAGACTTTTTTTCTTCCTTCAATCTGTTCCACAAGGAATTCTTCAGCCTCTTATAAGAGATGAACTCCAGCAAAATAGGAACTGCATGAACAACCACAGCCATTTGCCACAGGGACCAGCAAAGACGAAGAGCATGAGAAAAAAAGGAGCAACTTCTACACAGCTGTGAAAAAGTACCTGGGCTGCCAGAAAAGGGAATTGCTCTGTTATTGGACACAGATTGCTGTCACATGTGCAGGAGGTTCAAGGAAGCTGGGTTGAATGAGGCAGGAGCATTCTTCAGAGTCAGAGAAGACCCTTGTTCTGCACTGAGATCAAATGTTTAACATCCTGTCTGCTACTATCTGTAGCCTGCCCTCAGCTTTGTTTCTCTCACCCAAAGATCCAGGGAGAAGTCAGTAATTGTGTAAGGCTAGAGATGCCATGTGGTATGCAAGGGAGTGGGAAAAAAAGCAAACCTTTGGCTTACAGGCCACAGAGTTGACATAGACTGAGGTTGTGGGCCAGCCACAATTGTCTTGGGACTGCTGTTCTCTTCTGCTGGCACGTCATCTGCCTGCAACAATATGCTGACTGAGCCTGCTTGTCTGTTGTAGTGCTTATCCTACCACTCCTTTGCCCTGTAGAGAATTTCTGTATTTCAGTTGTAGATCATAGCAGCTAGTCTTTTTCTGTTCCTCTTCACTCAAGGCAGGAACAGAAGCAAGAGATTTTCTTGTGAGCACAGGTACCACACTAGGATGTGGGAATGGGCTCCTCAGATTTCTTTTTGCTTTTACCAACCTGTGAATCTTTCTTTCATATTCGTGAAGTCCATGTCAGCACTTCAAGCTTTGGTTGTGGTATGATAGCACAGAAGAGTGTCACACAGACAGCCTGCCTCTCTGCAGAATCTGATTACACAATGCATGTTGCAGTGCTGTGGGTAGTACCCTACATATCCTAGTAGCCTGCAGAAGGTAGAAGTAGTATGTATTCCTAGAAAAGAGAGTAAGGAGAAGTTAGAGATGAACGTGTTTTATTCAGTGAACTCTCTGCAAACACAGACTTCAGAAGAAGCTTCCTTTGAGAACGGTTCCAAAGTGCTTGTGGAACTGGCACGTGCAGATAGCAACCAAGATGCCTATGGGTAAAAATGTGTATCAAAGTAAAAATAAAAAGAATAGCTTAGAATTAAACTTTGGCTTCTCTTTCTGTGCTTCCTCAGGAAAGGATATGGACTAGCAGCAAAATGTTCTCAGCATCAGCAAAAACTCTGGTGCTGTCAAAAAGATCTGACATGTGCTAAACTTCTGCAGATGCAAACTGAAGTCATGTCAGATGTGATCACTGAAGCAACTGTGTGCCCTGAAATTTCACAAGAAGACATTCCCAGCAGCTCTCTGAATGCCCATTGGGACACAAGGTTCTACTTACAGTCTAAAATATGGGGAGGAGGAGTCGTAAGCATTCTTCTTTCAAAAGTAATTTTCTTGCCATTGTGGCGAATATGGATAGTTATATTGACAGCATGAGACGAAGAGGTGTAACAGTGCATGTGGTCCCTTGAAGGACGTGTGGGAATAGCTGGTGCTGCTGTATAACAAATCAGTATCCAAATACTGGAAATTAGCTGAGAGCTATGATTCCCAGCTGAGAGTTATGATTCCCAGCCCAAAAGGAACAGAGATGACTAGAGGCACATCTTTTCAAGGGATAGACTTTCAGAAGGGTCGAGGGACTAAGAGGCTGTTGCTAAGTGCAAGAGTTTTTATTCCCTCCTAGATTAATTTTAAAGTGCATTTCTGTCCAGCTTGCTCAAAAATGTTTATCACACAGCTATGGCTTTTGTTGTCCTTGGCTAATAGAAAGCAAAACCAACCTCAACTGTGTACTCAAAAAGAAAACTGTGCTTAATGTACATTTTCCCTCATCATCATTCTGCTGTTCTCTAACCTGCTTTGGAGGAGGATTATCTGGAGGTGACCTTAGATAATGTCATTGTCTTTTGAATACCTGACCTCCCTACTAGGGTTAGCCAGAGGGTTGCAGTGGTGCTTTTCATGGTACTGCATGAACAGGACTGCAATCACTAAACTTATTTTATTCATTTCAGGATACAGAAAGTAGATCACAACAACTTCAAGTCATTAGTGTAATGTTTGATACATTTTCTGTTTCACTTTCATAGATGTTGCTTATTCCAACACTTGAGACTGAATTTGCATTAAAGGCATACTTGGAAGAGGTACAGATTTTACCTGGAAAATTCAAAAAAATCTACGTCACTCAGATAAGCCCATTCCTTCTGGCATTTTGCCACTTCCACATAAAATTTATTCCAGAGAATTCCAGCAGAAAATTTAAATCAAAACTTATTGAAATAAATGAAAATTATCATTCAGATCTCAGTATTTCTGTCTGAGTGTTGGTAAGGTTGTGAAAGGGACTTATTTATATGAGCTGTTTCCTCCATTGCTAGTAAAACATTGTCTGCTGATAGTTGCCACCATTGCTTGATACTCAGCTGGGTGTGGGAGGCAGGTGTGGGCAGGAGAATGCAAACGTGTCCAAGGTGCTCTTCTCACACACTCTTACCTTTTAGAGCTGCTGTTACCTGTTTTATAACAGCAAATCTAGATCTCGGCAAAGCTCAGTGTTACATTATGTTTCTGCTAAAATAAGGATGAACTCCCTCCTCTCTGATGAATTGTACTTCACGGTCCTCATCACATATGTGTGAGGCCAGTTTTCACCTCTCGCTTCACACTGCTGGCTAGCTGGGATGCCACTTGGATACCACACAGGCATCTGGGACAGCCATGTCCACTGTCTGTGGTTGAAAGCCTAACCCATTGTGACATTTCTTTCTGACTTGAGACAGATATTCTCAGGTGAATATTCTCGCTTGGCATTGTGGCTGTGACCATCAAGCTGGGGAATAGTTTTCTATGTGTCATTCCTCATAGAATGTTTTTCCTTTGCTGTTTAACAGAACTGTAAATACACTATTGTAGTTATGTATTTACGACATTCTGAACATCAATGCTCATATTTATACATTCAGCAGCATTAGTCCCGTTCAGTGGTGCACTCAAAGATCCAGTTGGATCCAGTTACATATATTTACTAGCACTTTGTGCTGTGTTTAAGGGAGCGAGGTTGCTGCAGCCTTTCTCAGCTGTCTCATTGCCCCATGAATGTTTTGAGCAACTGATACACCTCGTTGGCTGTTCATTTAGTAACTTGAACTGCTGATATTCTTCGCCTTGCACATCATGATTTAATATGCATAAGCATTGACACTGTATAATTGTTTATTAGTTTTGGCTTCTCTTTGAATTTTAGAGTAGAAATCATATTCTAAGAAACAGGCTTTTAGGTCAAATTCTCTCTTACTTTTCCCATAGTCTGTCATTTCGTGAACTTGAATCAGTTATTTTCATTTGTGTTCTTTGGAACTATCATGTCTTTTATCTAAGCATATATCCCAGGCCATAATAAAACTTGCCTTGCCTTTTGCTAACCTTTTTCAATACCTTTAATACTATGTTTTTCTTAAACTGCTGAAATCATCATATTTCTCCTTCTGACACTACAAGGTTCTGTTAGTTCTTTTCTTTCTCAAATGCCGAGATTGTGGGGCTTTAAATGTTATTTGCTTACTCCATCCTTATAAAACTGTGGATTTTAATTAGTGCAAAGCTAGAGGGGAGAAATATATGTCTGGGATAATTTTCATACTCTGTGGAATGAAAAAGAATGGGCTTTATTTTTAGTTGATGTAGATCTGTTTATTGACTAGCTAAGCATACAGCTTCTCTTGAAGTTGAATTATTTTCCATATCGGTTGCAGTTAAAGACTAAAAAAATAAGTTTTTAAAATACATTTTTCAGTTGGAAAGAAGTTAATTTATATACATAAAGTATTATGCTGCAACAATAAACCCTGTCAAAATTCTCTATATCAATAATGTGTTCCATTTAGGAGCAAAAGGTGGCTTTAGTGTTGTTGAGAGATGTTGGAATAGATAAATCACTGCCCTTTCTGCAATAAGTACCTGATCTTCTGAGAGATTCATAAACAAGAAGGTAGCTTGATCAAAAAAAATATTTTAAAATAAATAGAATTCTTGGTGGCTGAATTGTTTGTCTCTATGTGTCTCAAGGCAACACAAAAATTACTTTTTACAGGAATATTTTCAGTAAGATACAGAACATTCCTCTGTGGCTTACTGCAGTTGAAGACACCCACAGAGGTTAGTAAAAATTGCCATCATCCTCAAAGTGGTGTATTTGCTTCAGCTTTCCTCCCCATCATACCAGAGTGTGCTATATGCTGCAGGGGGCAAAGGATGCCAGCCATTAACTTGCAACCAGTTCAAGCATGGACTGCACAGGTGACCTCATTCACATGCTCACAGGATGTGAGCACAGGCCAGGGAACAGAGGATTGGGCACTTGCCCCCCTGTGACAAAGTACCCCAGCAGCAGTTGTTGAGGCTAGAGTCAGCATACTCCTGTAGGAGTGAGCTATGGGCATAAGAAGCAAGGAGATACCTGAAGTAGTAAAAAAAAAAAAAAAATGCTCTTTCTACTTGGTTTTGATTCCTGGGTAGGTGGTGTCTATTCAACCAGATTTAAGTTCAGCATATGTTTCTGTATTACACAGAAAAACCGTCTATGTCTTTCAATATGATCAACCTAAAAACTCTTTCGTAAACTGAGTCATTAGCTATTGTAAATCCATCACTTCCCTCTTTCCTCAGGGATCACTGAGACTGATTTTGGGAGTGTTTAGGGAAAGAATAATAATGACAACTCAGCAGAATTTATTTTGTATACCTTATAATTACTGTGAATGTAGATAATTTTTTTCTCTAAGCAAGTTCATCAATGAGTTTTTTAGATGTGTCTGCAGCAGGTCAGTCAGATATATGAATGCTCTGTTTGACATTGGGCAGATGGCACAGAGATGTTGTTCTTCCTCTTCAGTAATATGTGCAACAAGTCCAGTGCTATGGCTGGACTGCAAGAAGGGTTTTATGAATCTGCAAATATTTTTGGTGTTGGGCTTCATCCATATTATCAGGCTGAATTTTTATAGAAACCCTTAGTCAATGGAATTTCTTTTGGCAGAAGGATCATTACAATTATTGATTTGCATCTCTTTGTGAGACTTTTCTTTTCCATATCATATAGATCTGAGGGTTGTGCTGGTTAGCCTCACTGTACATGATCTATAACATCCACAGCAAGAATCTTTTAAACTAATATCAAAGCTGAGCAAGTATTTATCTTAACATCCCAGATACAGCTGTGTTTTTGACCTAGAGGACCATTGTTTCATTAGGCCTGATTAACTACAGCATTATTCAGTTTTGCTCTGTATGGATTTATATCAGTGTACAACTTCAGTAATATGATAAATTAAAACCAGCACGCCAAAACCTGATTCAGCTGAAGTCAATAGCAGCAGTGCTGCTGACCTCACGTAGCAGAATGACCTGTTTGAAAGCAGTTGTAACATCCTTCTATCTCAACTTCCTCATGGCTTTTCATGACTGAAAGTGGAAAGAAGCCAGAATTTTTTTGTTTGTTTTAGCTTTTTGTGTGCTCTCAGCACCATGCAATTGTGCTGCTTTTGCAAAACACAGTATATATGTTACAGTCTCCAGTTCAAAGGATGCAGCTCTGCTGCCATTGTCTGTTTAGTTATTGTTTGCCCTGCATTCTCTAGGCCTACAAAAAGATCTGATTTACTGCCTTACTGTTACCCAACTGAAGGACATTTTTGTGGCTTTAACTGTTTCATGTGTCCTTAAGAATGGTTTTAATTTAATTTTTAAAGCATAATTGATCAAATAAAGGAATATTTGCTGCCCACGTGCTTGACCCTTATTTAATGAACAGGAGCTTTTCTTTCTCTGTGAACCATTTATTCTTCTTGAGCTTGCTATCTGGATTTTCACACTTTAAAGTCTTTTTCTGATGATGTAACATGCACTGTGCCATTTGATAGTGGGGTTTTAACACCATTTACCTCAGTGTGGCTCTAACAGTTTTACCAGCTGAGGATTTGGCCCTGACCTCTGCTGCATTAATTCACACAGGGTCCCTTCCAGCATCCCTGGTCAAGGTTAAATCAGCTTTACACAGCAGTCAGAGAAAACATTGTTGATTCATTCTGTATGGTACATATGAGCCTTGATATTTTTCCTGTCTGTTTTGAGATGTCTGTGTCAAGTGCCAAACAGCTATCTAAACACTGAATATCTCCTTGTAATAGAGTTACATGGTTCCCTTAAAATCATGTTTGAATTCCAAGTTTTAAGGCAGTAACATGAATCAGCCATACCACAGTGCCCATGGTGACAAATGAAAGACAAAGGTGACAGATATGTGACATAGTTCTTGAGATTACTTTGCTTCTTACATGTGTTATAACCTCTCTCTCATGGTCTTTACTCTTTTCTCGTGTGAAAGTGCTGTGTAAGTACAGGGAGAAGCGCCATCACATGAAGAAATGTCACTAAGTACATGTGAGGAGCCTTCTCTGTGAGGAAAGATATATAAACTGTCACATAAAATCCGGTTCTCCTGCTCTAGTTTTTTCCAGTTGTAGTGAAATTTTACTAGATTGATAACTCCAGCCTTGTTGGAATAAAATATCTACCCCTCCAAAAATTCAGGAGTGCTGTGCCTCATACAGACTGCATCATATTCAGCTTAAATGTATTTTGCATAGCTTCTGGAAAACTGTAGCTTATGTTGGGCACCTTTATTAATTTACTTTGAACCTCTTGTCACTGATTTAATAGCATAAAAATTCCATTCTAATATCATGGTACCTATATTTACAGTGTTCACACCATGTCATGTATATCATCTTCAGAGGCATCCACTGAATATGGGAAAATCGGATAACTCCAGCTGTTGTTATTACTTTTAACCCAGTGAGCTTTTGGGAATTATTCCCACTGTCTCTTACATTGTAATAGTGTAGTGCATAGTTTTGTATAACATCTCAATTTTGTTATAATTAATACAGAGTCCATAATATAGCAAAAGAAAGTTTTGATCTGATATATGAAAGAGTAAGGAGGAGTGGGGAAAGAATGTTAAAAATTTCAGAGATTTTTATATTCTTTGGCAATGGCGGTTGTAGATCTGTTCTACACAAATTAATCTCGCATGAAAATGTGATTGGCCTCATGCATACCCTAGCTTAACTTGAAATGGATGTCCATCTAGCTCCCATTGGTAGATTCATGACAAGGAAATATTTGGATATGCTGCTAAACCAGTTTTGCAACCACAACCTGGGTTAATATCTGGATTTACTTTCCAGTTTCCTATATGAGAAGCTTTATAGGGGACACCTGCTTCCATACAAGTGACATTCAAGTTCTACTGGGTTTATATGAAAAACAAAACATTCAGTACTTCACCCAGGACACGTCAGGAGGTTGTGCTTTCATGTTCTATTGCACAGTAGGAATTATAATACAGCCACATCATTTTGAATGCTGTTGCTTCATTTTCCACCTGCCTTAAATCTACTTTGCTGCGCACCAGTGTCTCAGCAAATGTCAATTCCCAGGAGCCGTGTCTGCCAGTTTCCTACCATAACCACCAAACCACACATGAAGGATTCTTCCCAGTACATGATGTATTCATTTGGCCTTGGAAACCCAGCCCTGTTGTGCTTGATCATCTTTAGACAAAGTCCCTCAAGGTCCTAAGAGACAAAGAAATTTGTAATGAAGAAAACTCTACGGTGTCCCTCTGTTTAAATCTCATGGGCAGGTCAGGAGTATATTGTTCCTATGCAGAGCAGCAAGGGAAAAATAATTTTCTTTGCTGTTGCAAATGGAGAGATCATGACACTGGAAGAGCAGGACAGAAAAACCTCAGATAAGGCTCTTTTTAAACATCTTTAGCTAACAGCATAAGGGGTTTCTTCCTTTGACAACCCATCATTTTTACATTGCCAAATTCCAACTCAGACTGATTACAGTGGTTTCAAAATGCTTTATCCATACCTCTGCATGGGCACGTGACCCTTGAAAGGGGAACCTATGTTATGTGGCCTCCACGTTTCCCTGATTACAGGTTTCAGGCAGGAGGATGGGTAGTTCTATGAGGTTGAGAAGTCATAGCTGATCCTGAAAGAACCGAGTCAGTAGCAGGAAAGATTTTGTATGGCCAGTGTAGGTGCGGGCAGTTTCTGTACCAGCCTTGTATATGGGGTACCCACTAGTTGAAAGGTTTTGCACTGACAGTAATTTTTTTCTCTATGTCTTAATAACAATTTTCTGCCTGCAGCTGTTTGCATTGCAGAATGCCTATGTTAATGCCACTTAATCTGAAACAAAGAAATCTGAATAATGAAAGTGATTGGGACTTCTGGAAGGAATGATAGTTTTAAGATAATTTCACACGTTCAATGTGTTTGCTGCTTGATATTTTATTTCCATAGCAAACATCCATTTTTCCATTTTACTGTGCAACAAAGCATGAGGTAAATTTGTTCTGTGAATCTGAATACCCTCAGTTCACAAGTTCCTGAACTTTAGTTGCTAGGAGTATCAAAGTCTGAGCCAAGCTGAAGGGCAGCCCATTTCTGTAACGGTCAGAGTAAAACCCTTGATCTCAAACATCTTCACTTATCCAAGAATCAAACTCTGGCCCAAGCTTCACAGCTTTAGCCTGATCTCTCACAGTGACACTAACATTCCGCTTTTATCCAGAGGGTGCTACCAAGAAACCACTTGTAATGTCATTAATCGCAAGATGTGCTTGTAAGTGTAAGAGAAGCTTAGTGTTGCTTAGTGTTCCTCACCTCGGCTTCTGGCAGAGTTTGCATGGCTGGTTCATAGCAAAGAAGGGACATGCTGCACTAGCTTGCTGCTGAGCAAAGAAAGTGGTTAACCTCGCGTATGTCTGCACTTCTGTCTCTCTACAATGTGCTCGTTGTTGAGCTGGACAGCTATCGTGGAAAGACTGCTGATTCTCTTCCCATGTTCTTTAACTGTAGTC